ACAATAGTACTGTCAGACTTTGCTACCAGAAAATCTTGATGAACACTGTCACATTTTTGTATATACCACATAATGCAAGGTACTTAATTAAATGGGAGAATGTCATCATCTGAACATTAATGATGTTGTCAAAGTGAAGTTGCTTCCCAAAAATGTTATTAAAAGCCTGTCAGACTAGAGTTAATCTCTTCTCATCTGAGAAGAATATATTCTTTTGACATTTAAAAATGTATGTTTAAATTAAATTAAAACCCACTCATTCCATTCCAGTGTGCTACAGTCCAAAATTAAGTTTATTGTTTTATAAGAACAGCAACCTAAATAGATTGATGCATAATACAGCAGAAATGCAAATGAAGATCTTTCAATTCACAACAGATGTTGGTTTCACAGAAAGATGAGATGATGAAATAGTAGGTAGAACATCAAGAATGTATGGAATGATACGGTTAAAAGAGTTGTGATTTCAGCTGCTCTAAGAGCCCCAATGCCTGATGATCAGATCTTCTAATTCCTCAGACATCTGGTCCCTTGAGGGAATTCTAGGATCTCTTTGAACAGGTTGCACCCATGCTTGATTAGGCATCAGGGGATGTTAGGATTTAAGAGGCTATGAAGTAAGTAGCTACTGCCATTAACATGAATTGAGCAATCGATAGAAGACAGATTAAAGGGCTACAGGGGTATCCAGAAGGCACTTGGGGTAAAACAGAGGGTTTGAATTGCTTCTAGTTGTGTAACTAGAAACAGAACCACATGAATCATTTAGGATATCGAGTCCAATCCAATGCTAAGTGCAAGAATCCAAATTAAAGTTTCCCAGAGACTGTTGTCTTTACCCACTTGAATACAATCAGTAAAGAAGAACCTGCCAACTCTCCTGGTAAATGGTACCACTTGTGAATTGCTTTTAATATTAACAAGTATGCAAATGCTTCACTAAAGTAAAAATTAACATCTCTTTGGTCAAATACACATTGGCAGTGTTCCTTGTATTGTCAATTACATTTTTTCTGAGATGAATTCCTTTTAACATCTTTATTGTATCACAAAAATACTGGCTTTTCTATACTGTAGTTTTATTATGTATGTGTGCTCAGCTTCTCTATGTCAGCAATAGTAATGTCATGCTTTATTTGCCAATTTAGACCATTAATAAATCAGCTTCAAAGGATGCAAAGAAGGATAAGGAAAATCAAGGAGGAAAACATAAAAATTCTTTGTTGAAAAAAAAGAATTAACTAGTGAGGAGGAAATCTTCTGATTTCAAAAATGCATGAAGAGATAGAAGCTACTGGCTTCTACAATATCTCAAAGTCCTCTGAATCTGAGGTCTGATTTGTGGAAATGTGCTAAACTAAGCTCTACAAATGATACTTTGTGATTCAAATTCATTCACCACGTTATTTGTCAACTCTCATATACTGATCAAATTATTTGTTAACAACTTGGTTCCAATTCAGCTCTTCAGTTGATGGATAGAATGTTCTTAGCCATATTATTTTTCCCCTCTCTCTTTTGGTTGGAGGTTGTGAGATTGGAAAGTTTCCAAACCAAATATTTCACTTATGCTGATGACTGTCCAATTTGTAATCAGGGAAGAGGTCTTCAGGAAGATATACCTGATTTTCTTGGAGCCAACTTGTCTAATTGTGAACCATATCTCTTTTGCTCTGTAGCCATAAAATTCTCTACCAAGACAGTTATTATCCAGTTTTCTGATGACTTTTGCCATTGTAAATATATTGATTTTTGTCCAGCCTACAGTGTTGTCATATCTCAAGGACAATGTATTTTATGTCTTCAGTAAGAGCCTCTCTCTATGATTGACTTCATAAACATATCATGAGCATATGGATTCAAATATTAAATATCCGTGTTTAATATTAAACAAATATGTGCGGTTAAATGAAAGAGCAAATATCTGTTGTGGCCCGCTGGTGGCCAGCGAAACTGGTTTCAGACTCAGACAGTGAGGAGGTTGGGGAAGAACATGGGCCAGTCCCGGAGTCTGGGGAAGACTCTGATGAGTGCTCTGCATCAGAGGCAGAGATGGGGCCAGGGCCGTCTGACAGTTATCAGCTGCCGTCAGAGATCAGTGGGGCAGAAGAACAGCTGGAGCCTGTTCCCGATGTGCACATGCCCAGAGCTGCCAGGAGAAGGGAACAATTAACAAACAATGGTCAACTCGAGAGTAAAGGTGAATGGCCTCTCCTATAGGGAATAAAGAGGAGCAAAAGGGGATTGCAGTTTGCAGGAGACAATTAGTTCACTTTGAATATCTGTTTGTGACTCTCAGAGACTCTTTGCCAAGTATTTTCTTGTACAGCTTTGCGTCCTGGCAGCTCTCCAAGTCTGATAAGGTCTGTGGTTATAAGTTCACCCTTGAAAGACTGTTTGCCAGGACTTTGCTGGATGTGAATGAGAGGAATTCACATTAGCTTAATAAAAAGGGGTTATGACAGGACAAGGAGTCTGCTTCGTGGTTTTGTGAAGCCTAGGTCAGAACAATACCCTACACAGTGAGAATCAGTTTCTATAGGTTTGCATCATCCTGCAGAAAAGCGCCACCTTAGTGGGGCTTTCTTTTTCTCTGGTTTTAGGTATTGCTTTTCACTTCTAAGAAGTCTAAATATAGTAATTTCCACAAGTCTCAAGACTAGTAGTAAGAATGCTGGAACACTTCAACTGCAGTTTTTGGTTCCCACACCTGAAAATAGTGCCATATTCTATTGATATTACCAATTTAGGAATTGTTACTTTCAAATTACTTTAACTATTACTTATACAGCTAACATAATTTTGATCATTTTATAAAAATGATATTTTTAGGCTTTTTAGCACCATGTTCAAGGAAATTAGATGTGGTCTTTCAGACCTGTACATTTTGAAACTTCACATTTGATTGATTTACAAGCAATATTCTCAGCAAAGGTTCTCCAGCTTCTTTTTGATAATGGTGGGAGGAATCATAGATTATCTGACAGGCAGAACGGTCTGCATCTGTAGATTTATAACATTTATAAGCAGGTGGATAGCTGCATAAGCTCAGTTGGCAGTTGAGGCTTATTGGCTAGCATCATCGTTGCAGGTAGTGATTGAGCCATGGTGGCACAATGGTTAGAGTGCAGTACTTCAGGCTACTTCTGCTGACTGCTGGCTGCCTGCAATTTGGCAGTTCAAATCTCATCAGGCTCAAAGTTGACTCAGCCTTCCATCCTTCCATGGTGGGTAAAATGTGAACCAAGACTGTTGGGGGCAATAGGCTGACTCTGTAAACCACTTAGAGAGGGCTGTAAAGCTCTCTGAAATGGTATATAAGTCTAAGTGCTATTGCTATAATTAGAAACACAGAACATTTGCTTTGGTACATAATTTTTGTTATTTGTGGTTTGGGTTTGAGTTTTTATTTTTAAGAGTGGATCAAAATGACATATATTGATTTGTAAACGTAATTTTTCCCCTCGTGTAAGAAGGATATACAAACAGCAAGCATCAAAATGACAATTTAAAATAACTTACATGAAAGCAGAACTACTTTGTCTCTTTATCTGTGTCTTATTTTTATTTTTTGTCTAACCAAAAAAGTAGTGTGCAATATTTAGTTTGGCAGCTTGTGATGCAGAAGCATTTTCAACAGTCACAGTGTTTCTCCTTGAACTGAGGGCTTCATGTTCATCTATTTAGTAGGATTTTATTTCAGCTTGCAGCCTATCACAGGACAAGGACAAGAGCCCTATCTCCTTTTCATAAATACTCTGGAATTCCTTTCTTTTCTGTAAAATAGTTATAGTATGCTGTTGTGACTCAGCAGAAACCTCCTGTGAGTTGTTTCGGGATGCAGGGCTGAGTCACAGGAGAGGATAACGAGCAGCTGTGGCTCATTATGATCTCCTCCTGCGAATAAAAGACTGATGGTGCCACACCCTAGTTGCAGAAGTCAACGTTCGTTCCATTCCATTCCTGTTCTAGTCAAATCTCTGTTTGTTTGCAATCATCAAGAAAAAGCACTTGGATAAGTGATTTGATTTATATAAACCTGTTTTGCTGTAGTTTACTTTTGCCAGAGAATTTATCTGTGTTTATTTTGGGCTCGCAGCCAGCAAGAGCCGGGGCTGATAAAAACATTCCTTTGCAAGCTGTGTGTGGCTGTAGTTTCTGAACGGGCAAGGTGGGGGTCAGAACAGTATGCTATAGGCTCCAGACTGACTCCCACCATATTTCCCAGGATTGTTTCAAATTTATTTCCTAATTATCAAATCTGTCCTAGCATATTTTATCTTTGAAGAAGATGTTTATTAGATTGCTACAACTCTGGAGAGTTCCAAGATGGCGAAGCAACATCTCAAAGGCATTCCAAAAACTAAAACAGGATTTTATCCCGACCCAGTTGGCTGAAGTTTTACATATTTATTTGATAGGCACTAGATTCAGTAGACCAAATGAAGGACAATCAGATACAATAATAAATGTTATCCCTGGGATGCAGAAAATTGCTAATATCGGGGAACCACAATTTAGTTTTGACAAGTCATTTTACACTAAATCTCCATTTATCTCCTTAATATGTTGTAATCATAACTTGAAATAGAAACACATTTTTTCTTTAAAATCAATTTACCAGATTGTTTTTATTCAGTTATACTCTTTGGGGAGGGATTTTCAGTACCTAGACACAGAATAGAATTGGAAGAGTAATTGAGGGAAACTTATTTTCTTACACTTCTGTTCGTTCTTTTTACATCTGACTTTCTCTTTGACAAATCTTTCTATCTGTCTTTTCTCTCTTTGTTCACATTTATTCTTATTTTTCCTGTTCTCCTTTTTTCAGTTTGAAATAGATTTGGGTCAGTACTGGCTAGCTACTTGTGATATATGAAAAAGAAAACATTTATATTGAACCTTGAAATGAAACCAGATGGATTGCTAATGCAAGAGAAAATAAAATAAGGCCAGGGCCTTGAAAATAAAGCATGTTCAAGGATTGTATTTCTACTCACTTAGTGGCAAGCAGCATATTTTTTCGGGAGTGGAGATCAGTAGGGTCTGTGTGCTGTCTGTTCAGGTATTCAGAAACTGCTTTGGCTGGGAATTCAGTTTCACAGATGTATCCAAAATCCCGAGCTAAATGTACAGCTTCTCCTAGGAAAAAACAAGCAGCTTTGGTCATCATAACCAGCTCAGGATGATTTGCAATACACCTGAAAGCCAGCAGTAATGCTTACTATCTCAATCAAACTTTTACCTTGAAAAAAATACCTCAAAACTTTTATTTTGTCCCAGTTCAGATTTGGAGATTTTTAAAGCAACAATTCCAGTTAGGATGTGGCCTCAAAATACAGTTTGTGAAAAACAAAGGAATAGTGCTTCTGAACACATATTGTACATATTTGTACATTTGTCTTTTGGGGCACAATTCAAGTAATTTATATTCTGAATTATTCAAGTCAGGCCATAGAGTATATAACAAATCAAAGGACTTGTTCCAAGCACTGCTCCCCCTCAGTTCCCAGCAGCTCAATAATTAGAAGCAAGGTGCAATGAAATGCAATGATAGAACAACATAAATGCACACAACAGTATATTTATCCATTAGAAATAAAGTTGGTGATACATTAATCCATGTTATCTATCTCAATGAGTTACTACAGACCTGGGTCACATGAATTATTAAGTAATACAGTACTGTGGCTTGGCTTAACATGCCATCTTAACTCAAACCTTGAATCAAATGATGGTTAATTAGAACATCTTGGCCATAATGTATAATCATGGCCTGGTTATCATTAGCAAAGAAGTCTTCCCATCTGATGCAAGAGAAGCTACATAGCAGAACATCTAGTGATCCTCCTTTATTAATCTCCCATTGGTTAATTGGAAATGGGGGAAGTGAAAAGAGAACAGAAGCAGAATGGGAGAAAACACATGGTGCCTCTCACTTCTGCCAGCACAGGCTTATTGCTGTTGTATAACCAAATAAACACACACACACACACACACACACACACACAAGCACACACAGATATGTGCACGCGCATGCACCCACACGTGTCTAGAATAGAAGCCTTCCTGTGTATGTTCACTGGATAACCATCTTATCCATGATTAATTCCAAAGCAAATACAGAGATCAATGCAATCTTACAGCCAGGTTACTCATGTGAAGTCTAAATATACAATACATGTCTGAATTTGCTGACATTGGCCTCTTGTTATTTTTGCCTCTTGTCTGTTTCCTCTTCCTCTTGCCATCTTCCTCTCACAAATATTAAGGGTATAATCTGAAACATACTTGGCATCATCTTTTTAGAAACATTCTTATATTTCAATGGACTGGATAAATTATAAACAAATACAACTGAAGTTATTTCTATTCCATTCTCTTTGCCTCTGTAGACTGCAAATACACATCTTCTGCCAATTCTTCAAAACTAATCTAAAAGCCATGCTCCCAGACATACTTACTCCAAAGTTCTACCCTTGCTGGTAGGAATTACTTTGACATACAAAGGATGGGATAAGTATAAAATTAAAAAAACCTACATTACAGCTTATTTTCATATTTCTTTGCTCTGTCAAGCTATAACAGTATATTGCAATTTAAACTCCAAGGAAGAAGATAAACAGAATATACTTCCCTGAATTTTAATCTATAAAAGCAAATATATTTAAGTAATTTACTCAAGTAACTAACTTACTATTTAGTAAATATTCTATTTCTCATGAATATTTAATTATTGTCGTAAAATGTACAAAAGAGATATGAATTCCATTACCTCTGATGAAGCCTTGACATAGGGAAAGAAAAAGATCTCTATCATCTTTCATGTTCTTGGCTAACTTTCTCTCTTTCTATAATTCATACAGTATACAGGTTGCAAATATTTGGGGACTATTAGAAGCAGATGCAATAGTACTGATGGAAAGTACCAATTTCTGACAGATGGACTAACATTTAGCTTTATAGTGAAAAAACTGGTTAGCCCAGTTGAGAAATTACATTGTTATAAAATATATATTAACAATCATAATAGAGCTAGTCTGCTCTAGTGGTTAAGACATCAGCCATAAGCCAGAAGAATGTGAATTCTAGTTCTGCTTTAGGCATAAAATCCATCTGGGTGACTTTGGGCCACTCACTCTAATCTCTTTCTGGAGTTGAGACTCTAGGAAGAATGCAGAGAAGAGCAACAGAGGTAATTAGGGACTGGAGGCTAAAACATATAAAGAATGGTTGCTGAAATGGGTATGTCTACTTTAATGAACAAGGACTAGGGGTCACATGATAGCAATGTTCCAATATCTAAGGTGTTGCCACAAAGAAGAGGGAGCCAATCTATTATCCAAAGCACCTAGAGGCAGGACAAGAAGCAATGGATGGAAATTAATCAAGGAGAGGCGCAAGCTAAAATTAAGGAGAAATTTCCTAACAGTGAGAACAATTAAACTGTGGAACGTCTTGCCTCCAGAAGTTGTGGATGTTCAAACACTGGGAGTTTTTAAGAAGAGATTGGACAACCATTTGTCTGAAATGGTATAAGGTTTCCTGCTTGAGCAGGGGGTTGGATTAGAAGAACTCCAAGGCCCCTTCCAACTCTGTAATTCTGTTACTCTGTTATTCTCTCACTCATACCAACTCACCCTCACAGGGTTGTTATTGTGAGGAAAATAGGAGAATTACAGTATGTAGTATGGTTTATTCTCCGCCTTGAATTATTTTAAAAAATAATAAATGTGGGATATAAATACATAAAGTAAAAATAAATCATCATAGTATTTACTAGCAATTATCTTTTCCCATTAAGTTTAAAGTGATTACACTGGAGATTACACTCCATAAAATCAATGCCTGCTTTTTAGAAATTTGTTTGACTGGAATGACAAAGATTTGCTAGGAATGTATTGAAACTATGCTTTTGGCCCTCAGCCAGAGGTGGGTTCCTACCAGTTCACAGCAGTTCGGTAGAATCGGTTCATCAAATCTACCGAACCGGTTAGAAGAGGTTCCACCAGTGGACCCAGAAAGCAGGCCACACCTATAGAAGAGGTTCCCAAAAAATTTGAAACCCACCACTGATACACACATAGAAACACACACACACAGACTCACACAGAGAAAGAGAAAGAGAAAGAAAGGAAGAAGTAAATAAAAAAAGAAAAAAGAAAAAGTGAGAGAGAGATGAAAGAAAAAAAGGAAAAAGGGGCAGAGACAAAAGGAAGGAAAGAGACAGAGAAAGAGAGAGAAAGAAAGGGAGAAAACACATGGCCGGAAAGCCACTCCCACCAGGTCACATGGCCGGAAAGCCACTCCCACCAGGTCACATGGCCGG